TATTTGGTTAGAATTCCACATAAATAGAAATTATTTTCGAAAAATGACACAAAATCTTGAAAACGATAGCAATTTCAAATACAATTTAGTTATTCTTAAAATAATTTTTTTCTTTTGACTTAATAGTTCAGTGATTTGCATGAATTTTTTTAATTTATATTTACTTAATATTTAAAAATAATAGTCAAGAAGATGCAGGTTCAGGTATGTGAACCTTGGTATAGTATGGCGAATTTTATAATAGCTTAAAGAGAAATCTCATAGTATTACGAAATCTATATCAGATCTATCCATTTACAGACATTATATTTATTTAGATTATTATATCTATTTAGATTAGAGATTATATACATTTATGTCCATTTTTTGTGTATTTTTATCAATTGTTTCATGTTAAAGTATATACATATAAAAGTATATACATATGTTAAAGTATATACATATTTATAGAGAGATTTCGCACTTTTACCTTAGTTTCCATAGGCTGTCGTGCATAAGATTGAAGCAACTGCGCATGCTCGCGTTTATTATAGGTGCTGCGTATCTTTACGTTGTGTTTGTGTGAGTTACGCTTCAAAGACTAAGCTAAAAGCATGACGTTTATAGCTGTTAAATGTTGCTTTCTTTGTAGGCCTACTTTGGAACTAAAAGCATGGATATGGAATGCGAATTTGAAGAAATGTAAGGGAAGAGCGGGCATGACGGGACATCGCTTTTTCTTTTATGCGTATCACGGTAGCGAAATCTAAAGTGCGTTTTCGATTAGAAAATATTGTTGTTCTCAATACACACAAGTTTTTTCGTCAGTTCACAAGGTATTACCGAAATACAAGCATTGTTTTGCTTTGCTTATAACGTGTTAAAATATTTTTCCAGGTTTGTATGCTGTTATTATTTGTTCAATACATTGCAATAAATTTTTCAAATTTGTGGCACTGTAGTGTTATTATTGTACAAGCATAATGAGTGGTGAAAATTAAAATTTATTTGTTTAAACAAATTTGAAGATAATCTTTTTAAAAAATGTACTATCCGGGCAAGATGGGACAGCCAAAGTAGAATAAAAGTGTATTATAAAAATTAAACTCTCCGGATTTGGCAAAAAGCATAAAAATAAGGTAATATTAACAACAACAAAAATATGAACTATCACATATAACTTAACAAATTATTTAAGAGAAGTTATAAAAATAATTTATAATTAATTAATTGACAGACTATATTCAGATTGCTTAGAATGGGCTCATGAAGCGTGCAGTGCTTATTCCGGTTTTGGCCGCTTCTTATGCAGTAACTGTGATGCTTAGGAACGTTTTTTTGTCGATTACTCTTTTATTCTAACGTTAATTTCTGTGATTTTTGAAATATAATTAGGTGTCCCATCTTGCCCGGGTAGCCCGCGCAAGATGGGACAATGTTCTCTTTTTGTTTATGTTAAGTTATTATTATTGAACTGTATTATTTATTTATTTTCTATATGAGATATGTAAGAGCAATGTTCCCACTATATGTTTACAATATAGAAGATATAAAATTGCTCTCGTTTACTCTTTTTTAAACCAAATTTCCTGAAGTGGTCCATTTTGCCCGCTCTTCCCCTATTGATAAAATTTAGAAATGAATCTTGTGGTCTTACAACAATTGGTTCATTCAGTAAATAAATAATTTTGTGGATTTAACATTATATTTGTCTAATTGCACTAGTTTTATAGGAAACTAGATAAATTTTCGGCATTTTAAAATTATAAATTCTATTTACTTTAATTATACAATTTAATTAAAAGAAGTTAATAATCAATAGAAGTTCAATAATAATTTTTTGAAATATTTATGAAAAGAATAATAATAATCTGCATTCTTTATCGCTGCATTCATCAAAATCTATTATCTAACAAATGTTTCTGCTCATAGAACAACAGTTTTACGTAGAACAAAGCATCGGGAATCGTATGTTACAGCCATTGTAAATTTTTGTTCTGTGAGTTCTAAGTTAAAAACATACTCCACTACGTTAGCGTTTTTAACTTAAGGATTTTTTCAAAAGTCTCTTATTTTCACTTACGTAAGTTTGATATTTTTTCACGGGAGCATGCGCATTTCACTTGAACTGACGCATGCGCACTAGAAGAGAGCATGCGTAATTACTTGAAATCTTACGTAAGGGAGCGTACGGAAGCTAGCGTAAATTTGCGAAAACCTCCCTATTAACCTAAACATTTTGTGCTTTTTTTCCGCAATTTGTAAATTTTACTCCCAAGTATAAATTTTTTTTACACTTAATACTATATTCTTTTCTGTAATTATTTAATATGCGTGGTATGCAAATAATGGTAAAAAGTTTTGAAACTGATGTGTAAAGCAGTATTGCAATGCGCTCAGGAAGAAAAAAAATGCTGCATTTTTTTTTTAAATTTTTATTTCTAAATAATTATTAAATATATTCATCATTGTATTTAAGTACACCATAATATAACAATGTGCATGTTATAGTTCCTACTTTAAGTGCAAGCACTTTTACTTTTGAAGGTTTTTTAGATGTACTTTTAGATGCATTTGAAATAGTTAGATTCTTTTACTTACTTGAGTCCCGAGTTCCACGTATATGGAGCAAAAAGTTTTAGCCTCAAGTAATATAATCCATATTTTCTATGTCTTATTATTACTTATGGCAGTAAAGAAAGAAATCGGAACTGTAAAATATTTGTTTGCTATATCCCCTTATACTTCAGTAGTGAAGAGGATAAACACAGGATTGAATAGTTATATTTTCTTCTAGTTTTCCAATAGTCTTTTATAGAGATTACTCTATAGCAAACAAATTTAAAAGCTTTAAATAGATATTACATATTAAAGTTTAATTAAAGGCTTTAAGGTGTTCACTTTTTCTCTTTCTAAAAGTCTAATTCCTTATGAATATATAACAAAGCAGAACCTTTTCACTAATAATGTAGTTGAAATAAATATGATTTAGTTTGATTAAGAAGGGTAAGTTCTCTTTTTGCCTTTTACGCCAGTCGAATTTCACGCAATAATACAATGATTAAAAAAATGTGCATAAAAATCGCTATACAAATAACATTGGAAATACACACATTTCAGTTTATTGAATGCGTATCATTTTATAACTGTTATCTCAACTAAAAATTCTAACTGAAATTACCAAGTAAAATTCAACAAAATATTGAAATTCAAAACTGTGAATTTAGAAACTAAGATTTGATTTAATATTGACATCAGCCGATTTTCTTTCAAACATTAATTTTTTTGACAGAAAGAAACATCTCACTATAAAAAATTCCGTAATCTAACTTAAAATTTCGTAAGATATAAATCCCGTTTTAATATAGCAATAAGAAATATTGGCACACTAAATGCAGCATGCTGAAAATATATTTTAATCGCAAAGTTTTATACCATAATTTTTACAATTATACATTGATTCTGAGTTTACAGTAAATATTACTGCATATAAAAATTACGGTATGTCAGATTTTTTTTGTTCCGTAAAACGTTTCGATAAAATTGAATTTATGGTAAGAGGTACTGGTGCTTGAGGACCACTACTTTTTACCGTAAATTGATACGGAAATTTTTTACAGTGTATAAAAATTTTATAATATAAACTTATATTAAAATAGTAAAGTTTGATTGTAGAAATGAAGAGTACTTTTTATGGTCATAAGTTAAAACTTAAGTGGTGATTTCATAATACGAAATGAAATCTTTAGCTACGTAATATGATGTAATAATATGTTATTTTTATGTACGTATATAACTTTTTCATATTTGCAACTTAAACGTTCTTAAGAATTTAAGTTATAGTGATAAGGAATCGTATATACATATTTCTATAAAAAGAATAACAATTTTACTGTTTAACTTCGCTACTATCTAAATTAAAGCTGCCTTAAATTCCATAAAAATCTATAAGAAATCATTTGCTTTTCAGAAAAAGCAAATGTAGTAGTTGATAAAATAAGCAAAAAGTTGTTTTCATACACTCTAAAGTTCTTAAGGTATTAAAAAATAAAGAAACATTACACAATGTTGGTACATATATAAATTTTTCATGCTTGCAATATAAAAATTTTATACACTGAGATAAAAATATGGACAAAACTACTAGAATGTAGTGAAAATTATCATGTTTCTGAATCTATAGGAATACCAAAAAGAAAAGTAATATTTGAAAAAGCACTTTGGTAATGATTTTGGTAAAATCAACAGTAAAATACAGTTTCTTAATATGCGATAAAGTTTGATAAAGTTTGATAAATGTGGTTAAATTTGGTAATTTAATCATGATATCTTACAACAGGGCATAAAGCTATATACTTTTTTGGCTAAATTTGCTTTTCAGTTTTGAGTTCTTCACTAAATGAGTGATAATAAGAACTATATTTCTGAAAAATAGAATTTCCAGTAAATTGTTACTCTGTAAACGAAAAAATTACCAAATGAATATTTTAAATACCATATACCGTATGTTTTGGTTTTGTAACCAGAGTAATGGTTTTTATAGCCAAACATGTCATTATCATACGGTACGGTAGTAATAACAGAATTTTTTTCTCCGTGTAGAATGCAAGTTATTTTTATAACGAATATAAAGAGCTGAGAATATTAATAGCTTATTTAAATTAACATTTATCTTTTATTAAAGGCGTTAACATTTATCATTTGAAAATATTTAAAGAATTTAAACTCCATAAGATAAGTACTCATACGTAAGAAATTTTTTCTAGAAAGCAAATGGAACTGATGATTAAATAAACAAAAGATTTCAAAGATATTAAATCTCCTAAGACATCAAAAACAAACAAAAGTTTTCCCGTTAATCTCCTCAAGAATCCCATTTCTCTTTCCTACACAGCAAAAACGCACATAAACATGTCCATTCACGTTTCTCTCCTTCCCAAAGTAATCCCACGTAATCCTAAATAATGGCGAAAAGAAAAAAGGATCATAAAAATAGCAATAAATGTCGTCTGAACACTCACCTGTACCATTCTAGACCCTTGTCGTAAAACCTGTCGAAGAAATGTGTTTCCGGACCTGTGGCCCGGATATCCGGATGCAGCCTCAAAAACTCCAGTAGTGCCCGAGTCCCGCACTTCTTTACTCCGATTATGAGGGCCTGAGGCAACCGTCTTGCTGCCCCTCCTGCCCCCCATAATCTCATCATCGCTTCTCCACCTCCACCGGAAATCACGGAACCGTTGCCGGATGGCAATAATCCGGCACTGGAAGAAGTTCTGGATTCCTCAGCGCTGCTCGGTGGGCCGGACTTGATTCTCCGGGGAAACCATATCTTCACAGCATATTCATTGCTTTCGTCTTCGCTAGGATTTCTCGGAGACGGGGGAAGAACACTCGAGATGGAAATATCGTCTGCTGTTATTAAAGGGTGGGTGGATAGTACATGCCACGTGTAACACGTGACTGAACAACAGATCAGCGTCATCATAAATAATCGTCTGAAGGCCCTGCATCTTACATTGAAGTCCATATTTAAAAATCGTTTGAAATTTTTACTTCATTTTTGTTTTCATGGAATTGTCAATTCATTATCACGCGATCTTTGATGACTTGTTATGAAGTTCGCACATTTTTGAATTGAAGTTGCAGTCATTTTCTCGTTTCAGAGTCGTTTTCACTATTAATAGAAGCTTAAAATAGCACGTTGCTTTAAATATTAACTTATAAAGGGAACAGACTTTTTCTCGTGAAGAAATTTTTCATCTGAAATGGTCGTTCTTTTAATGTGTTTTTTGATATTTATAAAAGCGATTCGCGTAAATACTTCAAAATAATGAATAAAGTTTCCTTTAGAAAATGTTTTTATCTAAGCGTCAAAAATCTTTATTTCTGTTCAATGTTTAAACTGCTGACAAAAAAAATCCCTGAAACTTACATTTTGCTTAATCGACGCAAAATATAGCAGAATGAATAATAGTTCTATAGACCACATTGTTGATTACCATGTATGAAATTTGAAGCTTCAACCGATAAATTAACTTATTCTTTTAGCATTACCACTACACGATCAAAATTTCATGCGCTATTAATTGCAAGAAAAACATTTCTTTAACTGAATTTTTAACAATGATGGATGCAATTTTATCATCAAATACCTCTATTCATTAATCACCCTATATTGTTTACTGAAAAACGTTCGATTTTAAAACGACGCTAATAAAGCGCATTATAGCACGTGCCAGTTGAGAACTTTAGAGAGGTGGGGAAGAGGCAATTATCGATAAAGTAATTAAAAAGCAATCAAGTAATTTGGAATGTTCCGGCACAGGGTGGTGCGGAGGGGAAAGATTGTTGACACTATTCCTTCGGAAGATCTGCCGGGCTTAGAATCAAAGAATCGAACACCGTTTCCTTGCTGGGTTCTGCATCTCGCGTTGACTGTCATTACTGGAGTTGAATGGATTCCCGTGGTATATGAGGGAGAGAATATCCTACAGAGAATGAACCACGTGACCGCAATTCGATTCGATCCCTTTCCTGCTGCGCCCTCTGGCGGGATGGTGCTCAGCTGTGGGGAGTTTTATCCTTTTCTGTTCCCGATGAGAAAGAAGACGTGCTTTATTTTCAGTAAATGTAATTCGAATAAAAGGAATTTCAATAAATAGCAGACGAGGATTTTAATTTTGGAAACCATTAATTTTACGTAGTTTCAGTAACGATGAATAAGAATTTGCTCCAGGCTGTTTCACATTTACTTAAAAGAGAAATATTTTATTTTGAATGGACTGGAATGTTTTGAATTTGGTAATAGGTGTTTCATTTTTATTAGTTTTTGTTTTGAAAATTTGGTCATATTAACCATCTTAACATTTTTGTCTCAATATGCTTTTTAATGCATCAATATGTTGCACATAAATAAAATAAAACACCGTGGAAAATGCAAGTAATATCACATAAAACTCATACCGAAAACATAATATACTTATTAATATTACGTCATTTTATTTGTTCTTCTCAACATTGCTTTTATTTTATTGATATAAATTACTTAAACGAGTAATTTAACTTCATAAATGATTGCCATATCATAAATAACTAATAGACAGAAAAATAGATCTAAATACTCATAAATACTTCATTAGGAAGGGATGTTTGATATTTGAAGTAATATTTGTTTAAAATTATACATAAAAAAAATTTTAATGAAGTATGCACAAGTATTTGACAAGTATTTTCTTCAAAACTTTTTATATATTTTAACACACGAGGGAATTTAGGAATCAGATATTTTGAATTACGATTATTTTTGGTATTACGATTTTTTTTAAATTTATGAATATAAATTTTAGAAAAAAATATATCTTAATTCAAATTTCACTCATAAAGAGTTACGGCGCAAAAAAATTTTTTAAGTAGTTAGAGAAATTTTCTTCAGTTTGAACTCAAATCCAAGCAATGAATCAAATTGGTATTTTAATCTGAAGAAAACATATAAGGAAAGAAAGGGGGTTTCAAATCAATATTTAAATAAAGAAAGAGAACAATCTCAATTTAACGAAGCACAAAAGAAAAAATTGAAATTAAAAAGCAAAACCTATTGCTGCCGGAACTTGAAGGTCTTTTAAAACCTGCCTTAATTGCTTGAGTGTTAACTCATAAATATGTAAAAAGATCAATATTTACGAAACACTCTGACTTGAAACTTGATATTGATATGAAATTTAAGTGAATACAAAATTTGTAAGTAATGATACTAGATAAATAAATTAGATTCTTTTTTTTCTGGCTAACAAACTACCATAACATTTTTTTTCCATGAATTCCTTTTTTAATAATCATTTATAAAAGAAACATTTTCTCGTTTTTAATTTGCTACATACATAATAAATATTTAAAACTGCTTTCATATCAATTATTCATTGTACTCATATAAATTACATTTTAAGCCGTTTAAAGGTATTAAATGAAAACATCTATATTTCTATTGTGCTTCATAAATTTTAGAAGTAAATATCATTCTGAAATAAGAATCTATCCAAAGAATGTACATTTGCCCAACGCTAAAGAAAAGTGTTGATACTTCAATTTCTTAAATAATCAAGCATTTCACTTCCAAAACGTCTAAATGGGCCTCATATGTTGAAATAGTTCCACCAATTACATTTATTAAGTGGAAAAAATGTAAATCAAAGTTACGAAAATGTGTTACAAAAGTAGTATTTTTTCTTTTTTTAAGAATCTGAATTTACAGTGAATTTACTTGCTCCTAGGTTTTTAAGATTGCAATTAATAAAAAATTTGCATTTTTTAAGAATCTGTTTTTACAGAAATTTACTTGCTACTAGGATTGCAAAATAACAATTTAGTAAAAAAATGGATTTTTTTAAGAATTATTTTTTAAAGTGAGTTTACTTGCTGCTAAGAATGTAAAATTGCAGTTTAGTAAGAATGCGCAAACACTCCAACTGAATTCAAGACAGATTTATTCAATCTCGTTCATATTTTTGCCACGGAAAATTATAATTTTTTATTATGTATACTGTCTTGCCATACACAATTATCTGGACTTCAAAACGAACAACAAAGCCTAAACATTTAAAAAATTATTATTTTTTTAAAAAAAATACTCATTCAATTTGTTAACATTTTAACACCTAGATATAAATCATTAAAATCAATGAAAGGTTTTCAATTTTCGCAGATTATTTCGTGCCTAGATATTAAAAATATACGTTGCCAACGCTGAAATAACTTTTTAAAAAAACTAAAAATTTGATCACAAATGCTATCAGCTTTTTAAAAGAGAGTGACTTTTATCTATAACGACAGTTTACGCCATTTTCCTAATTAACATGGAGAATGCTAGTTAAAGAGAAACAAAATTTAACCTAAAATTCCTGAATAATTGTTAAAAACTTAAACTAGTTTAAAAAAATAGCATATTATTTACTGAATAAAAATATAAATTTTAGTGACGAGAATGCCTTCGATGATCAGTCTGAAATTTGGAAATATATATATATATACTTTCAAACTAATGCATAACATGTTATTGTACTATCTTTTCATATTGTATTCAAGCATATTTTTAAATATCTGGAGCTTTAGGAGCCCATCTGTGTTTTATCAAAAGATGCTTATTTTTTTATAGCACATTTCTACGTGAACGTGCTTTATTGCATTACACTGTTTAAAGAAGGCCTTATATGACTTGCTTTTCAATTCAAATAAGGTCTTCATGCATTTGATTTTTAAGCTCTGAACATTATCTTGACATAAACAAAGATAGAATTGACCCCTGCACGAAAAATTCATCAAGTAAGTTTTTTTTATAATATTTTATAATGTAGATGAGGTATGAAAAAATCTTAAAAAGTTATATGAAATTACATAATGTACTAACATTATTTTTAAATCATGACATTATTTTCTAACACATATTTTCTTATTTTTTCATACTTTCTCAGGCATTCCAAACACACAGATTTCATTTAATCTTTCAGATTGCATGATTAATGAAACATATGCATATATATTTGCCATTTAGAATATATCTCAAAGTCAAAGTTTATCTGTTTTAATAATCATTCAGGATGTAAATGTTTCATTACACATTCAGGGCCAATATATTTTCTTACGCATTCCAAACATAGAGATTTCATTAAATTTTCAGAATATATATAATTTTTATTTTACATTCAAGTAAAACTAATTATGCCGTTAAGTAAAATATTTACATGATAAAAATGAAGCGTTTTATTCATTGAAAAAGCATGTGTTTTATTGCATGTTCAGAATACTCGAGATCCATTAAACCCTTAGAACACATATACTTCATTACACACTCACAATGCATTACTTTTACTTTACTTACTAGTTAAATTAATTCTGCCTATTAAGCATAGCATTTGCGATTTCATAATGAATGTGTTTTATTAAACATTGAATATGCATAAAATTCGTAAGACATTGAGAGTTGGTGTGCTTTATTCAGAATGAAAAATCATATTTGTTTCAATGATTATTATTTATATAATGGTTATTTCAATAATTAAATTTCTGAAATGGTAACGAAAATAAGCTATTCCTTTTAAAAGAACTAGAAAGGAAGCTTTAAACAGCAACTTGATCTTTTTTCTAAAAAATTCTTTCTGTGATTCAACTTCACTACTTATCAATTTAAATATGGACATAGCTGAAAATGCGCGTTCACGAAAATGGACATAGCTCAAAATACGTGTATGACAATTTATAAATATTAAAACTTAGAATTTTAAAAATCATCTACAAAATTTCTGCAGCTGCCATTACGTGATTTCATACGGATTCAATATTCTGGACTCATTGTTTAATATTGTAAAAGCATATTTCGAGCTATGTCCATTTTCGTAAACGCGAATTTTGAGTTATATTCATTCTCGTAAACAAGAATTTCGAGCTATGTTCATTTTCGTAAACACACATTTTGAGTTATATTCATTTTCGTAAACACGCATTTTGAGCTTTGTCCAGATATTAAAACTCGCCGAAGAGATGTATTCTGCCGTATAAATCTCACGAATGAAAATTTCGCTTCATATTGTAATATCTAATTTCTAGAGCTCCTCTCATTTCGAAAATAATCAATATAATTTCATAAACTATAGTTCATCATAATCATTCCATAGTCCCATTCACATTTTTTTTAAATTTATTTAAAAGTCTTTTAACTGAAATATTTTTGCTTTTAATTGTTGTTATAACTTAAATTTATTAATTATAGCTGATGACTGCGCGGTACCGAGAGTTTTATTGAAGATCTAGATAATTTAACAAAATACGTTTCTTCTTCTTCTTCTCATTGGTATGACAGCCCAGGATGGGCCTTGGCCTTCTCAAATACGTTTCTATAAACTGAAAATAAGGAGGTTGTTATCATTTCTGACTAAAAACTAAACTAAAAACATTCTATCAGTTCCGATGATTTTTCAGACGATGTCAACAGAACTATTTATTACAGCAAGATATTCTTAAAACACGGTATTCCAACTCCTTTACTTTCTGGTCCCGTAAACGATTTTCCAATGCAGCGGCATTTAATGACCTGCTTTCCTGTTTAGCATTTTTTAAATAAGCAAAACCTTGATTCCTGGCACTGTTTTAGTGCAGGTTACAAATTTTAGAAGAATTAAAAGCTTGTATTATAATCGGGTTCAACTATAGCTAAAGTTGAAATCTCCAATAAAAAAAGCAAGTCATTAAAGGCCACTGGTTTGTTAATTAGCGTCCGGTAACTTGTTATCCTCAACACTTTTCTTATCCCTCAACGGATTCACCATATTTCTTTACAAAAATTCTGCCTTTTTCTGTAAAAGGTCAAATAAAACTCCCTCTCGTAGTGCTGCTTTATTTTATTGCTTGTGTTAGCCTTTAAATATTGTTTCAGATAATTTTTACAGCATTATTATTACTTAAAAATAATCATCCATGTTTTATAATGATATTAAAAATGAAAATAATAATAATGATAAA